TCAAGGGTTTTAGGAGCTCTGTGACAAGAACTGTGGACAGAGACCAAATATATTTCTTATAACAGCTCAGGGCCGACTCCCTCAGGATAACTTTAAAAGGGCTCAGTTTTTATGATGCTTTGCTTTTCCCATGACCAGGATGACACTGTCTTTGGTGAGGAGGGACAGGGCAACTGGAAGCTGATGGTCAGCTGTCAGAATAGTGACATTTCTTTATCCTGTTACTAAGTATTGTATTAACAGCAGAAACACAATGGAATGTCTTAGCTAGACTTGCATGTAACCCTTGGAAAAATTTTTCTAAACATATTAAAAGTGGCTAGAAATGAAGCCATAAACCTAGTCCAGAGCATCCCATGCTCACTGAGGGTGAGCTAAAGAGAAGAGGTGCAGTGTTAACTTTCCTGTTATTTTAACAATAAGGAAATAGTATGGCTATAATAATTGCTATAGTCATGTCATTGCATTCTTCCCACCCATGCTTGAAAACACTTTCTTTATCCTACCTACTTACATATAATCAATTATCAAGTTCTGTTGACTCTATCTTGAAAATGTTCCTCAAAAATGTCCTCCCCTTTCCTAAATTTCTTCTTCCCTTCTCTAATGATTTGTGCAACCAGATAATAGTTGCTTAATGTGTTGGTCAACAATATAGTTCTTCCTGACACATGCTTTTCTCTCTCTCTCTCTTCTGGTTTTTTTTTTTTTTTTTTGAGTCAGAGTCTCTTTGTCACCCAGACTTGAATGCAGTGACATGATCATGGCTCATCGCATCCTAAATCTCCTGGGTTCAGGCAGATCCTTTTTCTTTTTTTTTATGTTTTGTAGAGACAAGGTCTTGCTATGTTTCTCAGGCTGGTCTTGAACTCCTGGGCTCAAGAGAGATCCTCTTGCCTTGACCTCCCATTGTGCGGGGGTTACAGGTATGAACCAGTGTGTCCAGCCCTGTTTCTCTCTTTAAAAGAAAGAAGTAAACAAACAACTTACCTCAGTGTGCCTTCAGTGTCCACCAACTAAAGCACAAATGCTGCTGTTCAAAGTCTCCCCAATCATACCTTTCTAATATCATTTCAATTTTGCCTAAGGACATATCCTATACTTCTGTCAAGTTCGTTCACCCTGTCCTCCAGATCCAATTCATCCTTCAGAACTACCTTGAAGCCTATTTCTATTCGCTCTAACAGCGTTACCCACTTCTCTCATCTCTTACAGGATGTCTAGGGCATGTTATTACTTCTATAACATTTATTATATATTGAAATATATTTGGGCAACATTCTAGAGTAGTGTTTAAAAGCATAGATGTTAGGGTCAGCCTGTGTGGTGATTAAGTTAACAATGCATCTTGAATGTAATACCTAATCAAAGCACCTTGAATAAAATACCTAATCATAGTAAGCCATCACTAAATATTGCCGGTTCTTGGTAGTATTTGTGTGCACATTTATTTTTTCTTTTTCCTTTCTTTCTTTCTTTTCCTTCCTTCCTTCCTTCCTTCCTTTCTTTCTTTCTTTCTTTCTTTCTTTCTTCTTTTTTTTTTTTTTTGAGTCAAGGTCTCACTCTGTTGTCTAGGCTAGAGTACAGTGACACGAACACAGCTCACCACAGCCTTGACTTTCTGGGCTCAGGTGATTCTTCCGCCCCAGTCTCTGGAGTAGCTGAGACTTCAGACACATGTCACCACAATCTGCTACTTTTTTCCTTTTCTGTAGAGATGAGGTCTTGCTATATTGCCCGGGCTGGTCTCAAACTCCTAACCTCAAGTGATCCTCCCACCTTAGTATCCCAAAGTGCTGAAATTACAGGTGTGAGCCACTGTGCCTGACGTGTTGTGTTCATTTATTTCCCTACTAAAATGTTCCTAGATGACAGTAGTCTTCTGGTGTTGAGGGTGCCTTTTTTGAATACTTTACCTGGCAAGATTTTGTTGGGTTTGCAGTCAGAATTAATTGTCACACACTAATTTCTTAAAGACTCTATGTTGACGTCTTTTCATTTAAGGTGTGACAACCTCATCGCTGTAAGAGATGTGCTAATTCACAATCACTATGATTGATACAGGATTTGAGTATACAGTTTTGTGCTCAACTTTTGATTAGTGTTAATTTAAAAAACAGTTTACAAGTCAGTGTATGTATGTGAATAAAACAATTGTTATTAGGTAATATAACATCATAATTACAATTAATACTCTCTACTGCATGCCCTCCTACCAGTAAGTGCCAAGTAGCTTGTTAAGGATGGCTTTGAAATGCTTTCATTAGTGCTCCTTATCTTGCCAAACTTGTTTTGTGTAATGACTGATGAAAAGAATAACATTTTATTTGAGGATCTCAAAGCACCTGGAAAGGCAGCTTTCCATTTTACAGATCAGTTACATTGTACTTTGCAGAAGTTCAACGCATTTCCTTTGCTATACTGCCGTCCAGGAAGAGGGTTGGTTAACCAGTAGAATATTTTATATTACAAAATACCTTGGACTTTTCCTAAGTAATAGGTCTGCTATTTTATCTTATGCCCATTGTGTCTGTGTACACAGTCAGATTTTCCCCCCTTTCTTAGCCTGAAGAAAAGATTGGAGGAAAATTTGTGTCCATCAGGATCAGTACTGGACATTAGCCAGAAGTTTCTGATTGATTTTTTTCCATTTTATGTATTTATTATTTGTTTTTTATTCTTTCCTATCCATTTTCTTTTCTTTCCTTTTTTTTATTTTTAATTTTTTACTTTTTTTGAGACAGTATCTTGATCTGTCACCCAGGCTGGAGTGCAGTGGCAGGATGTTCACAGCTCACAGCAGCCTTGACTTCCTGGGCTTAAGTGATCCTCTTGCCTTAGCCTCTCAAGTAGCCAGCACTACAGGAGTGAGCCACCATACCCAGTTAAATTATTTTTTTCTTTTGGTAGAGACGGATGTCTCATTCTGTTGCTCAAGCTGGTCTTGAACTTCTGGACTCAAGCAATCCTCCTGCCTTGGCCTACCAAAGTGCTGGAATTACAGGCTTGCACCACCATGTCCGGTCCGATTTTTAATTTGAATCATCTTGTTCAAATGTCTTTTAAGCACCTGAACTCTCCTTTCAAGCTAGACAAGCAATAAATACGTAACTCACTTTTACATTATTCATACATTTCCATTAGACTGAGGCAGGTGGTACAGTTGAAATACCAGGCCTTGGGAGAGAGCCACACTTGAGCTTGGATTCCAGCTTTGACACTTAATAACTGTGGACCTTGGACAAGTTATTTAACCTTTCTAAGTTCCCTGTCTGTAAAATGGAAATAATAATCCACAACTCACAAAGATGTCTTGGGGATTAAATAAAATAACTCATGTGAATTACTTGGTGCATAGTAGGCATTCAATAAATGTCAGTTCACTTCTTCTCCCAGTTAATAATGCTTATTAGACTATATTAAAACTAGAACCAGACTGTGATAATGCATTTCTTTATTAGGTATTTAAGCCAAATAACTAATTTCCCCCAGAGGGAAGAGAGAGAAATGTTGAATTAGTTTCATTTGGTGAACTTATTTGTTAATCTCTTTTTCTTCAGCATTATTCAGTCTTATAGTCCATAATTTAGTTTTCATGCGGCAAAAACGACACAGTTTAGTACTCTTTTTAACTCTACTGTGCTAGAATTGGTTTTTTAAAAAATCATCTATTATTACATCTGCCATTTATTAGAGATCATTATTAATTACATTAACAGCTCGATTGTGTTTCATAACTACTTCGTGCTGACAAACTTTTGCTCTCAGCAGTTTCCCTAAGGTCTAAGCCTTGAAAGCATCAAGTTTTAAATGGCAAAGCTACAGCACAAGAAAAGCAGGGGTGGGCAGGAGGAGCCACACTGCCTGTGTTCTTTCGTGTTAATTTTATACGTTGCATTTAAGTGAAGCGACGTTTTCTTCAAGGACGCAACCTAAGCGCGGCGGGCAAGAAAAGTGGAAACTGACTAATTGAGCTGGAGCTAGGAACCCTTGTACCTTTAAGGACTGGAGACTTGGCCTTAGCTCGGCCTCCTTCCCGGCCCACCTCTGAACTCTGATTGACAGGGCGCCGGGAGAGGAGGAGCTGAAGGAGGCCGAGGAGGCGGTGCAGGGAGGGAAGTAAGGGGAGGAGGGGCCC